GGGCGGTCTATGGGACACAGGTGTAAAGTCTGCAAAGCACCTACTCCTACGACCGGTAGTAAATGCCAGGCTGACGGCGGAGGAGCTTCTTGTTGGAGTTGAGGCCGTCCTGAACTCACGACCCCTGGGGGCTCTGAGTCAGGACCAAAGCGACGGCGAGTTGCTTACTCCCCGGCACCTGTTGAAAAGTGGACCGCTCATCGCCCCACCAGCACCGCGGACCCCGCACTAGCAGGATCTATCGTGCTTGCGGCTATGGCGACTTGTCTCGTCAATGAAGCAAACGTTTTGGCAGGGATAGTCCCAGGTGTACGTCTTGGGCCTACAGGCGCGGTCGAAGTGGCAGCATTAGGAGGACGACATCCAAACGGGCGAGCTGATCCTGATCGCAGAGGATCACCAGCCGCCACAACAGTGGCTCACAGGAAGGGTAAGAGCAACGCACGCCGGCGCGGACGGAAGGGTCAGTTTCGCCGTCGTCAGGACTAGCTCTGGAGCGCAATATAGGAGGGCAGCCCACAAGCTGGCGTGGCTGCCAGTAAGTTGAAGCCGGATGGAGACCTTCAGCGGGGCCGGTGTTAACGGATTCGTCGTATTTGATTGACTTTAATATTAATTAAGTCTAAGTCTAGCCTAGTCTAGTCCAAGATAGCTAAGGGCGGAGCGGGAGCGAAAGCTCATATTCGCTCTTGTGCGAATTCGCTCCGCTTCACCGCAATAGATAAGTAAGGTTTAAGATTAGAGAAATATAGATCGAATTATAATGTTGACGAGGCCACATTTTTTTCGGTTTGCTTTCGCTATTTTTTATATAGTTAGCAGCCACTCTTATTTTTTATTTTTTATATTTTATCGTGAGAGAAAAACTAATCTCATTCAACATAATGTATACAGATTTCGCGGACAAAATTATTTTAATTCAAATAAATTCTATGTCACCAAACTCTTGTGATTTCACCTCTTCAAAAGCAAGTTGGGAGTCTACCGAAATGAGGACTCCACCCACCCTCCTCCCACAATTTAAAATTTAGTTATGTCCTCCACCTTTATATCGGCTTTTGTTTTGGCTTTGATTTAAGCCGAGATATCAATCTCTGAAGTATTGGGGCAAACCGAGAAACAAATATATGTTTCGATGGAGGAATCACCTGTAAGGGTTTTGGTGTCGCAGGTACGAGAACTGCAGCATCAGTCGGTGCCGGGGGTCCGGACTTTGGAATACCTGTTTAGGTGACTCTAACTGGGTTTTCACTATGAACTGTGGTATCACTTGAAGGGATACCACAGAGGACATTTGCTCAGACAATTGCTCATTTTCCTTGAGAAACTCGGACGGTGAATTGTTCTCAGTTCTAGCCCTTGGGGTGGCCAAAAATATGAGCGGCTGTGTTATTGACGGCTGAGTAGACTGAGGCGGATCACAAACAGCGGATTTCTTACGCTTATTAGACTATGTTAGTAGCTGAAGGCCGCTAAAGTAAGTGTCAAGCGCACAGAGTTGGTAATTGACTTTACGAAAACCAGTGATCAACTCTTTAAATCCAGTTTTGGTCTGTCTCATGAACGACCTCATTTCGTCTTGGACAGCACGACAATTTTCACAACAATAGTGTATACCAGACCTACGGGAAATGGCATCCGAAACTGAGGCAGTGAACCCGGCACACTTGGCGTGTACGACGTTTTCACATAGCCAGCAATGGATGGTAGGCTGGGATGAGGAAATTGTCTTGTTACAAGACTTCATAGCGCAGACAAGTTTAAATTCCATATTTTTTAATAAATAAAACAAAATTATTATATAAAAAGTTAAAAAAACACTATATCTTGAACCACTGTGCCAAATAGGAAGGCGAAGCGGGAGCTTTTGAGGAAGCAAAAGAAAAATGCAGAAATAGAGATAAGACGGGGAAGAAGCAGAGCTGAGCTATGCTTGGAATTGAAATTATACAAATTATTAATTCGACTCCAAATATACCACAGCACTCGCGAAGCGATACGGTTTAAGCTTAAGATTCTTAAGATTCTCAATATATTCAATTTACAAGTAAGTAAACACCGGTTTACCAATATTTATCATAAACGCAGTGCGCACAAAAAAAACACGACCGTTTGCTTAAGAGAAAGAGAGGGAAGTGATGAAGGCTAAGATATATCTACAAAAGCTGTGCAGGCTTCCTTGGGACGAAAGACTTCCTTAGGAGTTTAACTCAGAATGGATAGAAATCTGCCAAAGTTTTGGGTGAATGCAATTGTTGGGATTTCCTTATTTGTGTCTTTCTTCTGAAGTTGCTGTGAAAGTTCATGAATGTTGCGATCCCTGTTTGGAGGCTTATGGGGCTGGTATCTACGTGGTGACGCCGGCGCTGTAGGGCGACTTCTGTGCTTAAGTTATGGGCTGTTCCTTGTACCCTGCGATTCGGTCATCCTGCGTGAGTCAGAGATGACCTCATATAGACAAGGCAATGTTGACTGGCAAATCGGTTCCACAAATGAAGACATCGCTGGAATTCCTGGATAATTTGAATATAGAACTGGATATCTTTGCGGAGGGTTTTTTTTGAGGCTCCTCTCAAGACATTAACTGTACCCAAACTGGAACTTGCTGGGGCTCAAGATAAGCCGTCCAGGTTCAACGTCTTTTTCGCTTACCGTGTTCACAATTCAGAGCCTATCGGGCTCCATGAAATGGCACGAATGCACGATCTAAACGCTGGAACCCAAATGTTGTTGTGGGTAGTGCAACGGGCAAATATATGGGAAGAAGTGAAGTCTTTGCAATCCAAAGGTATCGTAGCTTCTTCCAGCTCACTGATTTCCGTGTCGCCGTTCTTGGACTAGTTTAGGCTGTTTCACTGGATTTCAATACACTGAACTTTCACTGCATTGCAGTCAGACCTAGAGGTCGATGGCACTATCGAAATTATCGATGGGTAGGCGCTATCGATCCACCATCGATAGCAGCAGACACTTTCAATAGTGGCCAAACCACTATCTTTGCATCCACAATATCTTTGCATTCCCACTACGTCCGTTGAATCCAAAAGAGGCGGGTCAAATTACTTCAGAGAGGCGAGCTCAGCTCAAGGAAAAATTTTAAATCTCTTTATCTCATTATCTCTTAAATCTCAAGGAAAACCCAAAACTTTAAGATAAAATAAAAAAATTTTTTCTGGTATACCTTAAAAAAGAATTTTTTTATATGTCGTGCAATAGTATCAACGACTATCGTACCATCGATATTTGACACTATCGATGGTTCAAAATTCACCATCGTCGAATATCGATGGCGGCTACCATTGATACCACCAGAGGTCAAGGCCATCAAGTTTGTGAGATGTTTTCAAGATAAGCCTCGGATGTTAGGTGATCTGCCGAAGAAGAGAGTGGAGGGGCATCAGGTTTTTGCTGCTCTTTATGCCCTCAGAAGATTTATATTATTCGGAGAAAACCTCGGCAGATCTGGTCAAACAAAGATCTGCCACAAACTTCGTTGGAGCAAAAAGTCAGTTGCGGGAAACGAAACGACTTTTCCCCACCGATGAGCATGAGAAAGCAGTGCTGGATTTCTGCCTTCTCATTTATTATTTAGAAATTTATTCCTCCCCGTTCACCTCACTTTGTAAGGTTATAGGCTGAAATATATTAATGCAACAGGACCTTTGCAATAACAGGACCGACAAGGCCTAATGGGTCATACAGCCGGGCGACTGAATACAGAACGATGCGCCTAGTAGGCTTTGAGGTTGACTGATCCCAAGCGAGACACAGAACTTTGGGAAAGACTCACGATCTTCTTTAAGCACCTTATCCAGCACGTCAGCAAAATTGGAGCAATACTTCCTTAACCGATATTGTCATAACGCAGATGCGTCCCATTTTGGAAACATTATTTGCTCATCCTCTGCCAACTGATGCATTACCCGAACTGATAAAAATGAGGCAGGCTTCGTCCCATAGGTGACAGTATCCAGCTAAAAAACCTGCAACTCATCCTGGGTGGAATCCCGCTAAATGCAGATAGATGACCTCGGGAAAACCCCAACGCGTTGATACTTTTCGCAAATATCTCCAGTGATGACATCGGAATATGGAACCTTAACAGAATATGGAGAAATTTGGTTGACTAACTGGGCCAGACATCGACACGTCATTCAATGAATATCCAGAATGATGACAGAAGATCTATCAAAAACAACCCCGAGTTTTGTTGTTGAACCTTTATCCTTTAAGACACAATGGTGTGACCAAAAGTACTGACCAGTGACGCTCGATTTTGCAGGGACTGGACACATATGACCCAACTCCAAATACTCCTTTATAAAGGCAGCATATTGCTCCTTTAATTGACGACGGCGACAGAGCTTCCTTTTGAGAGAAAGAAATCGTCGAACGGCTTGGGAGTAAGATTCTCCCAGCAACTTAGATCCGCATTTGAACGGAAGCCTCACAGCGTATGCGCCGGAATATAGCCAGCAACATGTTGCACAAAATACGCATCGCAATCTAACTTCTCCTTTGTCCGCTTCACAATAGGCTCGGAGCAGTATTCGATCGACCACACGACTCCTTCAAGTCGAGTTTTCTGCAACAATGGCAGGCCAGCTGAGAGCTGGATATGACCAACACACAGCAGCTCATAAATAATACATAAAAAATAAAAAGAAGATCGATACGCCGTGGCCGGAAAAACTCTGGATCAGCCAAAGAAAGATTTCCCGGAATATTCTAACTGGAGACATCCAAAAGAAACTGGGCTGGCGGTTCGTAAGATTAGCGGCGATGACAGCGTTAACCAGAGTATTTGGATTCGTGAGACCGGAGGAGAACAGTATGTATGTTAAAACCCTCCGCAAGGTTACAAAAGCGGTTTTTTTTTAATTTCCAAATCGACCCTTAGCTAAAATATAAGAAATGTTACGCATATGAGTGATGGCATTAGTGTAAAAGGAATATACTGCATTATTAAAATATTAAGATTATACATTATTTATTTTTACCTTGTAATCTAATGCGGGTTTCACTTTTTCCTAAGGCATTGACACTTGAACAGCTGTAACTTCCAAAGTCGGCTTTTGTTAGATACCTTATGGTTAGATTAAGATGCCATGTGTACAAGTTAATCATTTCTTCCGAAAGATTATATTTATTGCTGTTGTGAAGCTTAATGTTGCCTAGTATAAAAATGTTCAAATTTTTTAAAATCATTGTGATAAGAAGAACTCTTACCTTCATTGCGGTACCATCCGTTAAGGGGCTTTGGATTTACCTCTACGAAGCATTCTAAAGTTACCTCCCTTTCTATTGGTGCTCCTACTAATTGGTTGACTGCTTTAATCGATGGAGGAACTTAAATTAATTCAAATATAATCAAGAATTAGTGGTGACGAAAAAAAACTTTACATGTAAGTATGCAAAATTATTAAAATTAAAAAAATTTCACATTTAAAATTAAAAGAAAGTTAGTGTTTGCTCTTTGAGGTTTTTCAATGGCGTAAATCCGCTCCAAAATAAAAGACAAAATTAATAATTGCGAAATTAATAATTGCGTCTTTTATTTTGAAGCGGATTTACGTCATAATTAATAATCCGAAAATAGACTAGTTTAAGGTCTTAAGCAGTGATTTAATGTGTGTACAGTGCAGTCCGACTAGACATTGCGAAGCTAAACCTCTCAAAACATTAGCTTCAGTTTCCACATTAGAAGCTGGACCCTCTTACTTAAGTTTCAACGCAATTTTTTTTGGAGCAGAAGTCGTGTACCCAGGTGGAAGTTCAAAGGCCTAAGGTAATCAGTTCAAGGTAATCATGCATAGTATTTATTTGCTGTTAGCTGTATGTATGGTAATTCGTGGGACTTAAAGTTAACTCAGATCATTGGAACAACAGATGATCATTATGAATCAGCAACGAGTAAAGTTTCAGGGTGCGCAGCTGAAGCAATCATTTGTGATCCTCACAGTTCAAATAAGTCTACTTGCAAATGGACTACAGTGGATGCAGAGTGAGATAGCCAAAGTGCTAACTGATGCTCGACATAAAAGCATGAGTCTGCTTTATAGGGCTTGATGAAAACGAATTTAATCAATGCATAACTGTTAAAGTGAAACAGCACATCTGTTTTAACCATCAAATGGCTTACAATGTTGATAGTCGATGCGAACTCCGACTATTCAATAACAAAAGTGGAACAATATGATACGGTGATACGGTCCAGCATGATACGGTTGAAAGCCCACCAGACATATAATTTGGAAACATAACTGTGCCAATATATCGGTCATAGACAGAACATCAGAATCATAGGGACTCCCACGACCCCCCAGAACTCGATGTTCAGCAACATTGACTCGCCGTGATGAGAGGAAAAACTTCACCGTATCAACTGGATCACCGTACGATCATTTCGTACGAAGCATTGACCATTGCAATCATTATACTGGATCTGATATGTGTCTACATCTTGCGATATAAACGATCGTTGTGGACTCCGAAACCTACAAGAATTTCGCCATAGAGCTGGGAGTCGGGAGAATGTTAAGTCATAGGACATTATATTAAACTACCTAATGTTATAAACAATAAACAAAATATTATGTCATGAAGTACACAACATCATACTGACGTGACGTGATCCTGTCAGCCTAGGACACGCAATCGAACACAGAGAAGGAAGTCCCAAATAGCGGCATTTTTACATTTTTTTTGTTCTGTATTATTAAATTGACTTTATTTTCTGAATTAGAATACTTCAAAAATACAAAAACATATTTTTAAAAAAATTGTAGACTTTGTTGGTATTTTGTTATTTGTCCATATTTAAAGACTGTCGATGATCATTAAAAAAAGATATTTTGGAGCGAAAGTTTTTCTGTGAGTTTTATCTTCAAATTGTAAATTAAAAAAAAAAAAAGCTTAAATATGCAATTTAAACGTCAACGTATGTACAATTAATTACACAGTGCGACAGTGGTTTGGAATTTTTGAAGAGACCTAGTAGGAATTGTTCATTAGGTCGAGTATAGTATAAAACCGTGTTTGAAATTTTTCTAACACACTCAAAATCTTGATTTATTTAGAAAAAACGGTTTTTCGGGACTTTTTTGCTCTTAAAAATTCCTAAGCGCGTAATTTTAAACCTATTTTAAAATTTAATATTTAATAGTTTTTTAATAGTTAAATGTTGTAGCTTTTGAAAAAAAATAGATCTTTAATTTATTTCAACAATAAGGATTCAATTTTTACGCAAGAAACTGATATTTTAGAATTTTTGTCGTGTTAAAAATAGGAAATTATGAAAATTGTTGAAGGTATAACGCTTTTCCCAAAACAAGTAGGTCCAATCTTGCTAGCGTTCCGGAGTAATAGTGTGCCCTTCCATTTCGCTTATTCCTTTCTTTTACACACTTTTACTCCGGAGCGCTAGTAAAATTGCACAGACCGTAATTCTGCAATAAATTGTACCAATACCGTAAAAAAGAGCGTTACCTAAGGGGACAGTTACAAGGTGAATTTCAAGCCTAAATTAACACAGTGTTTTATTAATATAATAACACAGTGCGACAGTGATTTGGCACTTTTGAAGAGAAAAATGTGGAAATGACTTCTTTTGGGAAAAGAGTTATAACTTTAAAGCCTAGTACTCTGACGACGAAAATCCGCTGTCACACTTGTGACAGCTGTCAAACTCCATATAAAAAACGGTGTGAAAAAGGAAGAAGAAGAAATTTTTCCTCCTAGATTTCGCCAAAACAGAGATATGAGCGGCTGCGTTATTGACGGCTGAGTATACTGGCTATCTACATCCCCATTAATTAGGTTGTGTAGAAAAAATAAACCCAGCATTGTCCTACGATTTGTTAAGCTAGGTAAGTTTATTAGTACAAGCCTCCTACTAAAAGATGGAAGATGAAGATTTGCATCCCAGTTTAGACCTTTAAGTGAAAAAGTTTAGAAATTCTTTTGTACGGCTTCTATGCGGTTCTGATAAACTCCATATTGGGGACTCCAGACACATGAACCGTTATCCAGTTCTTTGGTCGGATGGACCAAAGAAATAAATAAGGTTTTAGTTATGTAGGTGTTGTTAAATTCGTTTGACCTTCTTTTAATAAAACCAAGGCCTCCTTTGGCCATATAAACCATTGAGGAAATATGGTCGCCAAATTTAACTTCTAATAGGACGCCGAGATCAAAAACCTGAGATAATTTCTCTAAAGCAATCCCATAAAGAGTATACGTATTCTGCAGATGGCAAGAACGATAAATAGACATTAGCTTGCATTTTGATTTATTAAGTATTAAATCATAAGCTAAACTCAATTTTTGAATGTTTTCAAGATCAGACTGAAGAATTACATGCATACATAAGAACTAGAGAGTTCGTTTAAGCAGGGGGCAAGTCATTTATAAAAAGAGTAGCACGGACTAAACGGGAATGTATGATTTTAAATAAGACTCTTTGTGTTCTTCCATCTAAGTAGCTGGAGATCCGCGTTAGGAGGTCTGTAGGAAATCCCATCATATTTAGTTTACTCAATAAGAGTGAGTGATTGACTGAATCAAATGCTTTGCTAAAGTCAGTGTAAATAATATCTGTTTGACATCCCTTTTGAAAGCCATCTATGGTATGACAAAGGATGTCAACTCCAATAAGTTCGTAGCGGTGGAGCGACGCTTAATAAAGCCATGGAGATGATCGAAGAGCAATGGTGTTGCAAGTGAGGAGTAATTAATTTTTCAAATAGATCGTCAATGGCCTGATCATAGTTCGCAGAGGAATTTTCAAGACTTTTCAACGTTAGGAGGGGTGAATAAGATTCGTGCTTACGCTTAGTGTTTACAAGAGTATCCGGAAGCGGCGAATATAATTCCTGCAACATTCAGCGTTATGTACGGTAAAATTTGACCGAGCTAGTAGATATCTTCAAAAATCTATACTACTGCAGGTTATTTTTATATCTATGTAAGAGCCAGTTTTAAGTAATTTTTAGGTTAGTGAGGCATCTTGTAAACCTAGGAGGATTTGTTGAAACTGACGGATATTTCCATGGCACACATGAGTCAAAAAATTTATTTAAAGTGCAGTAAAATTTTTCTAAGGTGACATTAAGATCGGTGCATGCCAGAATATCGGACCAATCTTATGTATCGATAAAGCTATTAATTTTGTAAAAGCCTTACGCCTAAATGAGCCTTACGGAAACAGCGAATTTTATTTGCCATGCAAGTTATCCAACCCGTAAATATAGGCCACTTATGGCTTATATAAACAATATTTTCAATCTCTGCATTTGCCTTTGGCTTTGTCGTTGGCTCAATTATCCAACCCATAAATCCAGGCCACTAATGGCTTTCCACTTATGGATTTAAACAGTAATTTAAAACTCTGCATTTGCCTTTGGCTTTGTCTTTGGCTATGAGGTCCGATCTCGGTTCCCCAACAACAAATCAAAATTAAAAGTAAACATCAGCTTCTCTCCGAAGCCCAATCAATCAATCCTATTTTGACCAAGACCACGAACGCTTGAAAAAAAAAATATTTAAGAAAATCAAAAGTGTCTTGTAATAATTCAGTTTAATAAATAAGAGTTAAACACAAAGTTGAAATGATTTAAAATAAAAATTATATTTTTTCAATTCATCATCTAACAACAAATTTACCTGACGCCCGGCACGTGGGGCCGCGTCACATAAAGTTCCAACAAAATTTTTTAATAAAAAATAAGTTAAACATAAGCGGAACTCGCGCGGTCAACAACTCAACATTTTTAGTGGAAAAATTAAAACATCCACCAAAAGACAATAGCAAGTGACACTGATCGTTAACAACAAAGTGAATAGAAATTAATTAATGAAATAATCCATAAAGAGTTAATTAAAACAGAGGTGGACCGAAATTTTAAACCAAACATTTACAAGAACACAAAATTATTAAATCAACGCACAAAAAAAACAAACAAGAACAACAAGAGGTGGACCGAAATTTTAAACCAAACATTTACAAGAACACAAAATTATTAAATCAACGCACAAAAAAAACAAACAAGAACAACAAAAAAAAAATAAAACGACAACTCGCTCCAACAAGAAAAACCAAGGAAAGAAGACAGGACATTCTCTATCCATTTATCCACTGCATCTCGTAAGGAAGATCAACCACCAACCACACAGAAGGAAGACCCCAGTATAGGGACAGTATCGTGAGGAATTAATTTACAATAATAAAAAATTAAAGATTATAAATTAAGATCAGGGAATTTAATAAAAATAATATAAGCTTATATATTGCAAAAAGAAAAATTCGCGATTTAATAAATAATATAAAGAATAAATCTGGAAGATTTGAT